CTATTTATGTGTAAACTTTATACTTTCATATTTATATTTATAGCACTTTACCGTAATTAATCCATGCACAAAAAAAATTATTTCCTTTTTAAAAAGTTAATGATGATGATAATTTAGATATGATGTCAAAAACTTTAGTACTCGAAATATAAATATGAAAGTCTTATTTTAATTAAGATATGTAAATATATAAGAGCTATGTTGTATGTATTTAAATGCCACAACTTTATTTTCTTGAAAGTATCATAAGAGAAAAATTATCTTTTATATTTTTAAATAAAATTATAAACTAATAGATTATGTAATAATTAGAAATTCAGTCAAGAGCTCCTCGTCAATTTATTTTTTATTTATAAATTAGTCTATGAAAATAATTTATTTACCCATTCCTGTGCCAGCCTTGGGGTGAATATTTCTGTGCGGACTCATGACGTAGCTCTACATGCGGCGGAGGTTATTCTTGGGTTATTTTCAGTTTATTTTTGGATTATTTTTAATAATCCCAAAATAACCCACGGTCTTTATTTTTGGGTTATTTCTGGATTATTTCGGGATTATTGAAAATAACACAGAAATAATTTAAAAATAACTCAAGAATAATCTCCGCCGCACGTAGAGCTACGTCAGCTGTCATGACAGAAAATGCGCTCCAACCTTGGACATGATCAGCACCGAGCCCTCTATGATGTTATGCATATCGAAGTGCCACCTGGCCAGATCTTCATCGTCAGATCAAAATCAACTAGAATATATATTATCAAAATCATCAAAGTAATTGTCATATATGCGTGCTAAACTAACTAATGAATTTCATTAAAATGATATATATATTTGAGGCTTCTAATTATTAATATAGAAGAATGATTTTACCGAGTAGTTATTTAAATGCTTGAAAAAAGTTGATGATGATGATGCACTTGTATATGGAATGTGCTTAAGAGTGAAACCAGGGGTTGAGTCTGGGCTTAACATAGATGAGGCCAAAGGGAACAAGGCCTGGTTTGGGGTTTATGTGTAGGTGAGTGGGTGGGGTTAGCCCACACAAAAGTGAGGTCAACAAAATAGAAACAAACTAATCATGAAAGTACTACACAAAATCCTCCCCACTTAATTGAGTTGTTGGGACATCCTCTAAATCTTTTATGTAGCTATCCCTGCTACCACCTATTTGCTACTCCCTCAAATGCAAATGTGGCCAATGTGACTCTTCTCTCTTGAGTGCAAGATGCGCTATGAATGATTTTATCGATCGATAATAGAGTGCAGTCTTATATCTTAGAACAACTTAAATATTTATTCATAGGAGCTGTCCCACTACCACTAACGTGGGTCTGAGAATCCACTCTTTATTCACTATCAAGGAGGGAACACTTACAATATTTAGCTTGGCACTGGTGCAAATATCCCTTGATAGTCTACCCCACATGACTAAATGAAACCTTTGGCTACTAATCTAACATTCAATGTCTCAATACTCTCATTTGATTTGTATTTGACATTGAACACCCATTTGCACCCAACGAATCTTTTATTTGGAGGATGCTTTGTAAAGTTTCATTTATCATTTAGACCAAGTGCTTGAATCTCCTCTTCAACCATTTTTTTTTTCATTATGAACTTTAAAGTACTTCATGAATAAACGTGAATATCTGCATACTATCAAGATTAGTTACAAAACTTTATAAGGTAATGATAATTTCCCATAAACAATATACCCCTGGATAGAATAGTTTGTGCAACTTTTTATATATTCTCCACTAGATTTCAGCTCCCTTGAAACTTCAGAGATGTGTAAATTCATAGATACTTGTAAACAATCTTGTGGTTGCATATTATTTTTGTCATGCCCAATGGGAATTCTTTCTCCTAGTGTACACATAAAGTTCCTTGTTAATCTCGAGTTGTATATCCTCAAGTGATGGAACTTAGGAGATAATAGTTAGGGGGAAGTAAAATAAGTTCTAATGATTCTAGATCAGTGTGGGTATCCATAGTGGTATCCTGAATATGATATTCACCAAGATTCTCCCCATGCATATCATATTTAGGGTAGTATGATTGTTTTTCAAAGAAAATAACATCCATGAAGTAATACTATTTTTTTTGTAATTGGAGAACACTTATATCCATTTTTACTAGAAAGTATAACCAAGGAAGATACATTAGATGGATTTTGAGTTTAGCTTTGTACGGTTTAGCTGGTGAATGTGAGCAAAAGAGAACAAAATATTTTTAGAGGAAGATTGGATGAGAAAGCGCTACTATGAGACTATATTTCCATCAAAACATTAAGAGAGGCTATGAATCCTAGGACCCTGCTTGACATTCTATTAACGAGGTAGGTGACTGTGAGCACTACATCTCCCTAGAAAAAAAATGGGACATTGTAAAAAAACGTTATAGATCTAAATACTTGGAGAAGATATATATTATTCCTTCCAGCTATCTCATTTTGTTGTGGAGTCTCGATACTAAAACTCATATGAACAATATCATTCTTTACAAAGTAGGATCCAAGGATTGAGTTGAAGTATTTTTTTGCATTGTCAATTTAAAAAAAAATTATTTTGCATTGCAACAAAGTGTAAATGATATCATAGGAGTGAAAACTTTGAGTAATTTCAAATTTCTCCTTCATGAGAAATATCCAATTGGTTCTAACTATGATTATCAATGAAGGAGACAAATCATCTCACACAATTAATGATTTTCAATTTTTTGTTCCCCAAATATCACTATGGATGATGAGAAATGATGTGAGGATTTGTATTAAGATGGAGGACATACATGCCGAGTATGTTTAGCAAATTGACAAGTTTCATACTGATAAAATTTTATTTTTCTTAATAATGAAATGATGGTATAATTTACAACATAATAAAAATTAGAATGACCTAAATGACAATGTCATAATAAAACTATACTTTCAATAAACTCGTCATCACAATGTCATAATAAAACTTGACTTTCAACAAACTCGGACACTATAATTAAGAACATGGGAAAAAAATGTTGGAGAAGACACATGCGTGTTAAGAGAATAACTTTCCTTGAGCTGATATAGACATTGCTGCAATTCAACCCGTCTCCAATGCCTAAAATTCACAAAATTTAGAATAAAATTTAGTAACAAAGTTCAAGTCATTAGTTAGCTTGCTAATGGAAAGTTAGTTGTATTATAGTTGGGTAAAATATAATACAGAAGAAAGCTGAACATTTTCACTTCTCCTTCCCCAATAATCTTGGAGTGAGAACCATCGACAAGGCTAACAAATTTGAGGTTAGTGATCACTTGGTAGTTGGTGAGAGCATGAATGTCTCCAGTCATGTGATCAAAAGAACATAAATCTATTATCCACTGTCAAAATCTTTCATTGTTAGCAAGATTGGAGGATATCATACCTTGGTGTATCAAGCTGGTAGTCGGGCTAGTAAGAAGTTTCTTCAACACATTCAATTGTTCTTTGGTGAAAGGACTATGGTCAGCCAACCCTATAGAAGAGGTATTGTAGTTTTTTCTCCATTGTCTAGGTTTCTAATATACAAGTTTTTCATGTAGTTTCTAGCATTTATCCTGTGTGCCCAAGTTTCTTGCAATGTTTATACAATAGATGTATTTTATTTGGCTTTGGATCATGGGAAGAGTTGTGTTTACAAAGAGGAGCTTCCAGAGCTAGATGAACCACACTTTCTGCCATCATGAGCTTCTTCTTGCTTTCTTCTCTTCTAACTTCAGCAAAGGCTTCTCAGGTGGTAGGGAGAGGCTTGATCCCCATGATTCTTCATCTAACCTCATCTAAGTTCTTATTAAACCAAATAAGAACTTGATTGTCTTCTTCTTCGTCACTATTATTTCATGCATCATAACATCTTGAGGACACTTCCATACATACATAGTATACATGTCTAACTATAACTAATACTTTCACAATGTTTTAAGTATCAAATAACAGTTGATTCTTCTTGACGGAGCTCATACAATTTATCTCAATCTCAAACAATTTTGCAGTATTTTCAATACTAGTTAAGTATCACGAGTTGCTTCCTAAATCTCCCGTGTTATCTTGTAAAGCAAGAAATTTTCTTCAACTTATGTGGTCATAGAATTGATCCATCAAGACATATTACCATATGATCTTGAATCTTATATGAGCCTTAGTTAGAATCAGTGAGCTCAGGAATCTGGTGAGATGTTTATATTTTTTTTTCCACAAATGTACATAAACATGAATTGAGACTATTGAAATAAGTTTAGTCATTGATTTATGATTTGTGATCAAAGTCAAGAGTTCCGAGTTGTTTGGACAAAATTGTTGTTTCTGATTCAGAACTAACCTCCGAAGTAACGCTAGACATCTTCATTCAGTACTTTGTAATAAGCCTTATGCACATTTAAGGCAAAATTTGGGAGTTGGCTGCTTCTTGTGGCATGGAAGAGTCCAACACTATGATAAGGAGCAGAGGAGGGCCTACAACCTAGCTGGAAGGATTCTGCCGACTCCAAGAAAGGTTATGGCTGCTGAACAACTGTTGGAGAGGCTCTGATGGTTATAGGAGCAAGCAAAACATGGCATGTAACCTAGCTGAAGGGATTCCAATGGCCGCAGGGATGAATCTGTTCAAATTGAGCCTATGACTCGTGCATACAAGAGAGACGAGCTAAGCAAAGATATCTTTATATGTTGTCATTCCACAATCTGTCATTTGCAAATTAATCAAATGGAAGAGAAAAGTGACCGAGAGATTGAGAGTGGCGGACATATCACTTATTGCGAGGAGTCTGCACGGGCCACTTGCAGAAGAGCCAAACTGCTCGAGTATGACAGGAGTTGCAAGAGACGAAAGAACCGCAACCCTTAAAGCCCTACTACCGTGAGATAAGAGCACAACTTAAGCATAAATGAAAGACTACCAAAGGCTTCTACTGTGAGGAATAAAAGGACAAACATTGCTATCTCTAGAGGGATCGAATTCGAGCCCCGATACATAAAAAAGGTGGAGAAACAATATCCTCTTATTCCATCATATTCAAATTACAACATTTCCTCATATTACATAGGGAATGCTTAGGGCAAATAAAATAAAGACTGTTACAACTTATCACAATAAAAGAAATACATACAATATGATAAAAAAACAGATTAAAAAAGATTACAATTGAAATAGGAAACTCCCTCAAATAGTTTTCACAAATTGATCTTGTGGGACTCATATGTCCGGCGGCATGTGTCACCTAACAGGGACAGTTTCACAAGTTACCAAAGTAGCATTTGATAATTTATGAATAAAAAACTATTCCCAATATTTTTCTGAACGAGTATGATGTATTTAAACAGATGCTTACACAGGAAATGGTAAGACATAATACAAAAGGATTAAAATTCTCAAAAAGAATTTATCACATAAAAGTGAAGTTCATTAGTAAAAGTAAAATGAATCAAACTCCGAAACAATTCTAACAAGGAATGAAAAATTCAAGAAAATAATTTCTACATGAGAGTAACAATCGGCAAAACTCCTGCGGTTGATTCATTTGCCAAATAAATTTGTAATAGAATGCTCACTATTCCCCAAAATTGACTATCAAAATGCAAGGAACCTTTTAAAATGGCACAGGAACACATCTAGTATGTGCCCATAACACGAACTAAATAGCCTCAGAGAGCCAAATTTAAAGTTGAAGATGTGCATACAAATGCCCATAATTTATATCACATGAATCCATGCACAATGCTAAATTTCTTTGGTGGCATACAAAAAAGTATCATAAATCATAAATTAAATAAAACTAAAAAAGAAGGATAAAATATAGTAAGGTAAAACCACAGTTTCAAAAATCAGAACAAACTATTCAACCATGAACCAATCCTTCGATTGGTTCTTTCCAATCTCAAAATCACTTCTACAAAAAAACCAGAATTGAACTGGTCTAAACAGGTGTTAAACCGATGAACTATTTTGGTTTTTAGCGAACCAACTTGTTATTGATCAATTTCAGCTTTTAAAATTTTCAAATGACTAGAAATAAAAGAAGTAAATTAATAATGGATGAAAAAATATGTTGTATTAAAATTTTGATTTAAAATATTATTCAAAATATCCAATATAGTAGTGAAGTGTTCAAAATTAAATTATTATATAGTGAATTGATACAAGTGTTATTATTATATCAAGATTACACAATTTAAATCATATTAACATAATTTAAAAAGTTATTACATCATTTAATTCAACCGCCGGTTGAACCATACTTCAACTATCGAACCTTGAAGTTCTCTAATATGAACCACGATGATTTTTTCACAAAAATTAAGGCGAGCAAAATATTTTTATTCACTTACACAAATAAGACAACTCAAATATATAGAGATAAGCACCTACAATTCGAGAGGTAGGCGATCTCTACCAAACCCTATACCTAAGACTCAATGCCCAATCTCATGTATCCCTAACCCTAAGCATAACAGACCCTATAATACCCTAAAATAATAACTAATAAAAAGTAAGGATCTGTTTGGAACAGTTTTCTGCCAGCTTTGCTTTTTAGGCCGTCATCACAGTTTTATCTGTTTGGAACAGTTTTCTACCAGCTTTGCTTTTTAGGCCGTCATCACAGTTTTATTTGGAGAACTGTTTTCTTATTGTTTTTTAGAAATTTTTATAATAGAAAGCTATTTTTTTTAACTTGAACTAGTAAAAGTATAGTTACTGCTAGAAAGCTGAAGTCTGACTGGTTGAAAATAAAATAAAATTATAATAACCACAGCATCTTTCAAAAAATTGTTTCCTTTGCAGCAACTTTACAACTACTTCAAATAGCTGCAGCTGCCCCAAACAGATCCCAAATTACCTATATACCTATATGTGTCGTAATAATATTTCGCTCCCAATAGGACACATTGTCCCTAAGGTGGGAAAAAAAGAAACAATTGATGGATCAAGTCTGATGGCTCTCCCTCATTAGCTAACTTGAGTTTGGCTCTCGTCGTCAGCGCTTCGTTGAAATGAGTGACGAGTCATTGACACTGCCTGAGGACTAAATCTAATCCATAGCCCGAAGCATATTTCTTTACAATGAAAAGTGGTTGAAACCATGTAATGTCAACATTGGTATACTTGCCATGCCCTTTTTTAACTTCTTAAAAGTTTGGGTCGCCGTTTTCTCCCACTAAAAAGTTATCTTTCTTCAATTCCTCCACCAATAGCCCCATAATTGAATTACAACCCTTTACGGACTTCCGTTTGTATCCTGTAAGTCACAAAAATCTTCTCAACCACTTTGAGGTCTTAGGTAGTAGCCACTCAAATATAGCTGTCACATTCGATGGATCCACCGACACTAAGATTTTGGACAAACTATGGTTACCGCGAAGCACCAACTTAATCATGTCCAACCTAATCTCCACAGAAAAGGATTTCCAATCCACCCTCGTCTCTTTGATCATCAGTGGCCACTTTATCCCAAGAATCACATCAACACTTTCAAAGTTCAAGTGAAAGAAGCCCTCCACCATGTATATGACCTGTAGTGTCAACACCAATCAAATTCTAAGACTTATATCCACCTTCCCTATCCTTAACATAACCCCAAAACTTCTCGTATCTATCAAGTTCAACCCCAACTGGCCTACAACCCAATTGGAGATAAAGTTGTGAGTGGCCCCACTATCCACCAACACCACTACAAGTTATTCTCCGATCTATCCCCTCACCTTCATGATGCAATTTGGAGTAAACCCCACCACTGAGTTGAGGGGAACCTCCACTAAATCAAGGTGTATGTGCTCCACACCCTCCACCGCTTCTTCCTCCAACTGGCTAAATCAAGGTGTATGTGCTTGTCGGCGTTTAAAAAGGGGGGGGAGTTACGTTTGGTTCACTTTCAGCCGCTTCCCCTCACAAACTATAAGGATCTGGAGTATGCAATCCTTGTATCAGTAGATTGGTGCATACTTCTTATCACATCGGAAACACAACCCCTTTGTTCTTTTGCATTACATCTCTAACTCCATGAGGCACTTGATGTTGACCACGCCTCCCTTTGAATTGACACCATCTGGGTCCATGGTGTCATAGTTGTCGAGGGACTCCTCTGAAATCCTCCCATGGTGCTGCTTCTGGTGGTATTCTCCATCTGATTCTTGTCCTCTACTATCTGGGCTAGCTCCATCGTCTCCCGCAATTCACATGTTCTCAACAGTTGGAGGGCTGCACGTAACCTTTCATGAAATTCCCTTACAATACTATTTTAGAAATCCCTCTCAGTTGTCCCGACAACAACTCAAATCTCTTCCTATACTCCATGATAATACTCTCTTGAGTCAAAGACAAATAATTGCTCGTGTAGATCTTCATCCCGAATGTCTTTGAAACTTTCTAACAAGCAATCCTTAAATTTTCTCGTGAGAGAATTAGGTAACTTGCCTCCCTCTACTGAAACCGCTAGAGTTTTTCCCTCCAAACATAATATTGCTGTCATAAGCTTCTCCTCCCCATTTAGTCTATTTATCGTGAAATACCACTCCACCCGATAAACACACCTAAGCGCGTCTTCCCTATCAAAGATCGATATCTTAACTTCATAACTCTAGCATCCCCACCCCAACTTCCTCTCCCTCTGGAGTTTCCCCTCATGTATCTAGGGTAAAATTCTCTCTTTTTACCCTTTCTTTCGATCATAGTCATACCCCATCCTGGCTTCTCTACTTCCTTCTATGTGCTCTTTCATTCCCCTTGCATAACCCCTTCTCCATGTTTCAGCCCAACACATTTTATTGAAAATCTTTAATCAAACACCGATCAGAGCCCTAGGAGGGGGTACTTGATGGTGGATGCTTTTCTCCTCATGTCCCTCTCTTCTGATCTCTTTCTCAATTTCACCAAGAATCCTCTAATCAATCCTTGGTTAAGGTTTGTAAATTGATCCGCCGGCGGGTCTTGGATTGCATATCAATAAGCCTAACTCTTCTCAGCTTTCAAAACGGTTTTCAATAGAGAAAAGCCTTTTGTTTATGGTTGAGAACCTTTCCTCTATCTCGGATTTAGGTTGTCATACTTCTTCCAATCTCTCTTCCAAAGCATTCACTTTCCTTGCTACCATCCTGCACATTGAAATCCCTTCGTTGTTGTCTTTCTAGGTATCCCGACTCGCGACTATATTGGTAGGGTGTAAGCGGAGATCTCGACCCTGGCTTCCACGATCACTAGAATCGCAAAACTAACGTCCATGATCTCGTCGTCGGCTTTCTAGCTAGTTTGCATATGTTTGTATCAGGAAGTTTGGTGGCTGCGATCCAGTTTGTATTTGCAACCTTGTCGCGATCTCGTCTTTGCTTCCTAGATAGCTCCAATCATGAATTTATCACGATAATAGGTCACGAAAAAGACCTGACTTTTTCCATTACTTGTCGTAATCTGTATCACAACTATTTCAACGAGCGAAGGATGCACGATATTAAGTGGTTTCCAACAGAAGGAAACGTGATCCGGCTTCGCACAAAAATCACGATCCCATCCTTCCCAAGGAAATTGCAGTGAAGAAGGGAAGGATCGATGCTTTGATACTAAATTTGATGCAAACTAAGACGATGTTTAGACAGTAATTATGATAAACAAAATATTTTTCTTCAGAAACACAAAACAACACAACTCAAATATATAAAAACAAACTACAATTCAAGAGGAAGGTGATCTCTTCAAGCACCTATAACTCGGGAGGTAGGCGATCTCTCCCAAAAAACCCGAAACCTAAGATTCAAAGACCACAATCTTATGCATCCCTAACCCTAAGCATAATAAACCCTATTTATACTCCACCATAATAACTAATAAAAAATTAAATTGCCTTTAGGCAGTGGCGTAAGAGTCTCCCTTCCAGTTCAATGTCTAGTTTTATTTCCAATTTTCATACCCTTGGCAAAAACAACAGTCCTACACAACTTCACAATACCTATGGAGGTCACCAATCACATGCTGCTATTTGTGACAAAACTTTCCAAATATTATTGGTTTACGAATGCAACAATGAAAACCATATTCTATATTGCATAAATTTTGCTATTAACTATCAACCTAACATCAAACCCAAAGCAAAAATTGCCTTATTCGTGACAACGCTGAAACTATAATAACTTATCACCACAAAATCTAAAAAAAAAATTAAAGAAAAAGAATAAAAAATCGTTAACCAAGAGTGAGGTTGAACCTTTCAAAGAACAATAATGAGAAAACTTAGGTAAGGACTTCTGAGAGAGCTGATGAAAAAGGAGAACTCATTATCACTCCATGACCTATCATCTTTAGGCGACATTCAAAAATGCTACAGCTGCTGCGTTGCCATTGACCTCAAGAGACCTTTCCAGAGCGATCTGCACAAAAAAATTTAATTTTCACCAGTATTTAATAACTGCCAATTATCTTTAATAATGGAAAGTCAGCTCACATTAATCCTATAAAGAACAATAAAAGTACTGAACCTAGCTTGAAAAAATAAATCGCAAAACCAACGTTTCTAAAACATTCATTTTTTAATGAAATGATCCCAGAATTTCAATATTATTATTATTATTATTATTATTATTATTATTTTGCTAACAATATAATAGTTCGACAATTTATTTAATCAAGAACAACTAGGATGGAAAGAAATAAGGCATTGCCGTATATGGGCTTCATTTCATGTTACTCGGGTATTTTAGCCAAAGCTGTTTTCTAAGCATTTATGTGTGGGCTTATGATAACCCGGTCTCGGGTATTTTAGCCAAAGCTGTTTTCTAAGCATGTATGTGTGCTGTTTTCTAAGCATGTATGTGTGGGCTTATGAGAACCCGGTCTCGGGTATTTTAGCCAAAGCTGTTTTCTAAGCATGTATGTGTGCTGTTTTCTAAGCATGTATGTGTGGGCTTATGAGAACCCGGTCTCGGGTATTTTAGCCAAAGCTGTTTTCTAAGCACGTATGTGTGGGCTTATGATAACCCGGGTATGAATCAACTCAGGTAGTGAGCATGGGTTTCTAACAATTCGAGCATAGATATCTGCTTTTGTGACAACCAAGTGCTTTTGTGAATATCCAAAGATTAAAATTTAGCTCCAATAATTTTATTTAACAGTTTAAAAATATCAAGCAAAAAAAAAAAAAGGAAAAAAAAAAAAAGAGCGAAAAAAAACAAAAAGAGCGCACATTACAAGTCTCAAAACAAGAATTTGTGAACAAAAAGGGCTCTTATTTAAAATATGCTAAATCAGCATAAAAATGATTCATTCCAATCGAGCCGCTAAAATCAAAATGATGCATTCACCCTGCATTGTTTGCCTGCAAAACACAAAAATAGAACACACATATTGCATCATTTCTCCTGCAGCATTGTAATGCTGCACTATCGTTCTATTCTCAAGCTATCCAATGTGCTTTAATACAATTCCAAATCTTTAGTCTGAACATGAATTTTACTGAATATTCTCTAGTAACAAAATTAATTTTAGCCTAAGCATGAATTTTACTGAATATTAGCTTGGAAAAAATTTAATTTGACATGTTACTATAATGTTATAAGTTCATAAGCTACTGAAAATATTTTCATGATTTTCAAAGGTATAGTAAACAGCATATTTTTTAACCTTCTTTGGAAAGGTGTAAAATAATTATTTTTACAACTCTTTGACCAGGTGTGTTCAAATGGGTAATGTACTATATAGACAAGATTTTATAAATTTCTAAAATTTACCTATTTTTGTTTTTTACAACGAAAATTTTGATTTCAAAGCTATAAAAGTTACATTATAATGAAAAGTAAGATATACTCATAGCACTGTCTGTAATATCAAGGAACTATAAGTTAGCGATGTATGATGCCTTAGAATCAAAATTTCATTAATGCAATCTAGGATGAGCTGCACAATGTAACACAAAACACACAATCCATAGGTTATCAAGTCCAACTTGAGCAAAAATTAATCACTTTTGATGCAAAAACAATAAACACGTTCCGCTTCAAAAAAAGCATGTTAAGTTGGTGGTAAGCCTCCGCTGGGTTTCATTTTCAATGTCCGCAAGCTTCCGTTGAAGTTGGCTGATCTCTCATTCTATCATTTCCCTTGTAGGCTCAGGCATGTATCTCCTTGGTCGCATAGCTAGGGTTTGGAGTGGGAGGTGAAAGAGAGCATAAAAAATGATTTGAAGTAGCTGAATTTAAAAATCAACAAGAGGAAATTAGGGATATGTCAAAGTTTTGGCTATGATTTAAGAATACGAAGAAAATTTTGGTTGAGGGGTAAGGCAGACGCTAGGCAACCCTGGGATATGACTACGGTTAGGCTAGCTATGATACGAAAAGATATCAGAGTTAACCCAAACCACAAAAAAAAAACTAATATTATTACCGAAAACAAATAAGCGGTTACAATCAACACACTAGAAAGAGAAAATACAACAATACCACACTCTGAAATCTGAAATAGCAACAAACACGATACAAATAATAGAACTAGGGTGGGGTTTTAGGCTGGTGGTGGTGATCGGAGGGGGTTTGGCAGTGGGGAAACAATGACACAACAATGGTCGATGGCTGTACTGGGCGGCAGCACACAGGAAAGAGCGGAAACAGCAAAGAGGACAGCAAGCAAACGGAGCCACTTCGCTGTTTAGGTGGCAGCAGCAAGGTAGGCAGGCGGACTGAAATGAACGGCAGTTCAAAGAACAACAGTTTGCTGTTTTGGGGCTGGCATCAGCAGGGTAGAGGGGTTTTGGGGCAACTGTGAGGGTTGAAAGCTGGTAGGAGTGGCTGGGACAGCAGGGTAACTGTAATAACAAGTGGTAGGGACAACTGAGGGTGGTGGAACGGGTAAGAAGGACAGCAGCCCATCACAGTCAGTTAGGCGGCAGCAAACCGAAACACGGATGACAGCGACTGGAAGATAGGAACACTGAAGGAAACAACAGCAGGTAACTGTTCGGGAGTGGCTGCAACAATGGAGGGCGGCCAGAAGCGATGCGGGGAGTATACGGAAGGGAATTGGGAGAATAATGACCACCCTGGGAGAAAAACAGCCGGAGCACCACCAAATCCCTTGAATATAACCCTCGAAGGGAGAAGAAAGGACATCAACGGCTGTCCTAAACAAAATACACAAAAAACTAACTTCAAACTCTAATACAACACATATATAAGAAATGACTAAAAAGGAATGACGGATAATATGAAAGAAAGCATAAGGAAAACGGGACTGTTTCAGCCCATCTCTCGCGATTGCAAAATCTAGCAGTATTGCAGCAGCTACACTACCGTATCCGTGGTGAGCTCCCGTGTCAACCCTCTTTTACAGCATACGGAAACTGCAAAAGGCAAGTGAAGTTCAAGAAGATAATAATCATCAAAGGAAAGGGCTACATCTGGAATCGACTATAGTCCTATGAGAATTGAAAGCCACAGAGGACAACTCACAAAGAAGAAATATGGGTAATAGTTGGAGCAGGAAGGGTTCCCACATCAGTTAGGTTCTAATGGACAGTTAAACTAAAGATGACTTCACAGAATCTTTGGCTTCAATAAGGCAGTAATAATAACAAATTATTTTCCTGAACTGTAAATTAATGTTCTACTAAAAAGTAAGGTTTGCCAAATAATTAGTTACTACTTTGAACTATTTCAAACATCATTTAATCTTATAAAGAGCCCCATTATAAAAGTCTTCGAAGTGCTCGAACATAAAAATTCTTCATGAAATATCCAAGTCTTTCCTGCAAAAAACTTCTCATATTCTCTTTGAACCTTTTAGTGTTCCGATTTGCATATTCTTACACTTCCTAATAGGTTGGTTTTCTTGACAATGATTCCACTACTTCAAACTGAGCAAATATTATTTAGGGTGAGGCATTTCATCGCTTTGTATGGGAAGGATTTAGGGTTCAACTTTGCCCAACATAGAAAATGAGGGAGGCATTTCTGTAGGGCTGGCAAGCTGACAATTTAAAAGGTTTTTAAATGGCAAAATTCACAATAAATGATCATGGCAAGTTAATGGAAACACATGAAGGTGTTGAGATATAAAAAATTCAATTTGCATTACCTCCTTGCTTTATTTCTTGCTTGCTTGTAATAGATTGTGCTTTACATTGCTAAAAAACTGAAATTTTAACTTGCAATGCTGGGTGAATTACAAATCTTATAATATAAGTAATAAAGTTCAATTTATTTTGAACATCCCAGCTCATCCCAAAGACCCACCCCTTTAGTCCCGTCAAATGCATTTAGAGCAGAAGGGTGGCATCCTTCGACTTATTAAACATTAGAACTTAAATTTGATTTTTGGGGAAAAAATTATGAAGATGTACATACATACCACACAAATTCTATGTATTTACATATCTAACACCTAAACTTTAACTTTTACATACGTGCCACCTTATGCATAAAAAGGCATATTTCACTATTTAAAAATTAAAATGGTGGTGTTTTTATGATATATGAAAGATTTGGATGGTATAAATGTAATAAACAAAATTAAGTGTTAAATACGTAAATACAAAAGAATTGGATGGTATGTCTGTAAATGCCCCAACATTTTAAGTCATCAATGTAGGGTCCAACTTCAAAGTCACAATAAGAAAAAATAACATCACTCTTTGGCATCCATTTATGGATCTTAAATGTGAAGAGTAGAGAAGTCCATCATGCACAGGAGGATCCTAGCCAAAGTAGAACAATAAAAAAAAAATGAGGTAAATAGAAAAAAGAACCTTTTTCTGTGATCATGCCCTAGTCTGCGAAGAAACAACAGCCACAACTAGAGACAAAATAGCCTGGAGAGTTCATAGGGACTAATTTTTTAAGGATTTGTATTTAAAACCTCCATTTTAAGATATCATATACCAGAAAAAAAATTACTAGTTACTGGCTAGATCAGTTGTGTATGGTGAATCACACAGATAGGACTATCTTTCTAAATTACATGACGTATGTGATCAAATTTTGTGGTCCTAACGTTCCATGAAACTGAAAAATCAGGAAGCGTTACAGATTTATCTACAAGCACAATAAATACACACAAACTTCATATAGCCTAAAGCATACAGGTGAAAGTAGTTAAAATTTCATAGACACGCATGAAAGAAGCAAATATAATGAGAGGAATATAGTAATAATCCTAAGAAGTCAAGTGGTATTAGCAAAGGATTATTTCTGTTAGTGGAAAATCACCTCCTTATACGTGTGTTTTAAAATTGTGAATGGCTCTTTCTCACGAGCTCCATTATTTTCTTCAAATATACCGATCAAATCCTGGAAAGAAAAAAGTTCAAAATGTTAAATGGATACATAAAAAACCAAGAAACATCAAGGAGACACTTGAATGAATTTTAATTTTTTTATTAGCGCAATTATACATTCAACAGTTAGTAATAGACCGATTATTCTCAAAGTTAAATAGCAATCAAACTGAACTTTTATGATATTGTACAAATTTGAGAAAAAAAAAAACTTCTGTTTAGATTTTAACCATATGCTATAAGAATAATAGCATATACCGGTTCAAGATAAACAAACTGATACCCGAGTTAACCAAATCATAGCAAGACAATCAAATAAAATCAAACAAAAAATTCTCCAATTAATCCTTAAATTTGATTTTTTTGACTTAAAAGATTAATAGCATATGCCAAATGGATATATGAAAAACCAAGAAACAACAAAAACACATTTCCAAGTTGTCACGAAATTTTCTCTCGCAAGACCAGGGACATTTTTTCAATTTTTTTTAGATCGGCACCGTGCTCTATGCTGAGAGCCCCACAAAAAACCCAACTGTCACTCGAATTTCTTTTGCAAGAAAGAAGGTCCTCTCAATCATCTAGATCGACATCGCACTAAATGTCGAGATCCCCTGATATATCTACCAAGTATTAAAATCACCCTTTTGCTAAACAAGGAGGATAATCACCAGAGAAAACACTGAGCTCCAAGTCAAAAGTCTATCATCTAGATTGACATCACACTCATGGACAAGATTCCTAGATACATGTAAACTCAAGTCATTCCTTTTCACTTGATAAGGGGTAAATATTTTAAAGACTCTTATGCATTCAAGTTAACATCATGCCCAAAGCTAAGACTATTGAGTGTCGTGAATACTAAGTCCCTTCTTTATAAGACAGAGGGCCCATACTTTTTGGGTAAATATTAGATTGAAGGCCGAAATCTTCTAGCCATAAGGTTCAACATCATGCCTACTATTGAGAACTTCCTCCATTTGGGTTGATATCATAGTCATGATCGAGATCCACAAATAGCCCATCTGACATTGTGCTTTCTCATGAGATTCTTGAGAATGTTAAAGTCGTTAATGATAAATTTGTGTTCAGTTAGACAATAACAAAAAGAATAAGTATCAAATAAGATTTATAAGATGATACTAAATGTTGGAGGTTTGCCTTCAAAACTCGCTAATTTAAAAAGTCAAGCGAGAAAATCTGTTAACATCTATTTGCTTTAGCCCGTTAAGTTTGAGAATCATAAAGCCTCTTTTGCTCAAGTCTAGGGCTTGGATGGGAACCGAGCTCAACAAACAGAGATGTGATCGAGTTAGTGAATTTTCTTTCCACTCAACAAGCCAAGATTATAGTGAAGAGCCCCGTTTGTTAAGTTGATGATGACAAAACACAAGATTATTTAGTTGGGTTGACAGCGTGTCGGATGTAAAATCCTCAATTACCATATTGGTGCCAATGTCGTAATCAATTTGAGAAAAAATGAATATATCTTCAAGCAAATTATAAACAAGATAATTTCAAAAGTCTAAGATTCATCTATCAAATTTGTCACAATTCTATAAGTCAAATATAAGAATTTTGAGCTCATTAGCTCCAACATATCAAATTGGAGAACCACAAGTTTGTTTACAGCTCAAGTCAAGGATGTAAGCAAGTTCTAAAAATCAGATTCAACAAGTCCAAACATGGTCGAGTTATTGAAAGCTCTCTTCACTCAACGAGACATAAAAATAGCTTTAGAGAAGAAGCTCATGTTTGTCCATCTAATAGAAATAGCTATTGTATTGAAGTTTATCCAACCAGATTAGTTAGGTGATCCAAAGCTTGAGGTTCTCTAAACATATTGAATGAGTAAGGCAAAACAAAAATAGACGATCCACGTTTACGCTCTGTAGGTGGAGGGGTTATAATTTATATCAGTAGGATATGATTATGATTATTCCCCACTTCCCAGTAAGTAAAAAATAATCAAATGAAGGATATTACAAATCCCTGTTAAAAGAGGTGTCTTCAAATGCAAATCAAAAGTCAATTTTAGTTGCTCCTCACTCTCTCTTATAATTTGTTATTCAAAAAGAGCATAAAGCCTGTGAAGATTTTAGAAGATCTTTCTAGAATTTTTTTTGTAACACAATAATGCATTTTTAATTAATCATAAAATCCTCACATAACACAAGGGGTATTTTTTTTGGTTTATTTGGGTTGATATTGTGCTCGATTTCCAAATCTCCAAATGTTTTTCATCAGAAAAGGGGTCCCACTTTTTATGATTAACAACAAATTTATGGCTGAGACCCTAATGATAAGGGTTGACATTATGCTTAACACGAGATCTCATTTCTTTTGGATTGACATCGCTCTTCAATATCAAAATCTCAAAATATCTTCTTAAGAATTTTGGTATCAATCAAAATGTGATAAAATTTAAAAAACAATGATTTCTTCCTTTTGGTTAACCAAGATTTTGAAGGTTCAACTAAAAAATTTTTGAGATTTGCAAGCTTCAATGAGTTTTTTAGATATATACAAGTTTTTTCACAAGTCTATGGCTTAAGTGAGTCAAAAATGTCGAACTCAACAAGCCAAATATGGTTGAATTGCTGACAGCCCCCTTCACTCGACAAGCCATAAAAATGACAATAGTGAAAGAGCAAGCTCTTCTCACTTGATAGGCCATAAAATACAGTGGTAGTAAGAGAGTCTCCATCTTAGTTTAATGATAGAAGTTATCTAGTTCCCAAGCATATCCAATTTAATGAGTTTAAGTGATCTAAATAAAAGAGATTTTCTTACCGAATTGATAGATTAAAGCTAAATCAAATGTAAAATCTGCACTAAGAAAATAACCATGAAATTAAGCCAAAAAATTCCTAGGTTCTAAGACTCTGTGATTCAAGAAAGTAGTTCTCTAAATAGACAAGCTTTATTTGCAATAGTTTAAATGACCGAGCACAATACCGCAAGCAATATACCTACCCCGAAGGATAGGTACAATACTTATTTGTGAGACTCGATTAAATAAACTAAAGAATTTATGACATCCGTCTGGTCTACGAACATTTTATATATGCCGACAAATTCTCCTATCTAAGACAAATAATTAGATAGGGTTTATATTACCTGAGTTTTTAAAGCTCCCTATAGAGGCAAGCTCTATATAGTCAATTACATCTTAATAGATAGAAGTCACTTAAAAAAACTCTCGATTTAGATCAGAAAATATTGTCTCCAAGAATTTCAAAGGAATAGGACTTTTCAAGGATCAGACAAACATGTGTGAAATGGGAAGGACTCAAATTTGGAACATTTAATTTTTGGAATCCAAAGGAAGAAGAACTATGGGATGTCACGGATCCCGAGGGGAACCACAGTGACTTCCCAAGTTATTCTATGGTTTAGCTTCAATTTCGAGAAAGAAATTACTGAATTTTTCATCCTGCAAATTTTATTAGTTAAAGCTTACATTTGCGTGAGACGGTCGCACAAATAGCCTGGAAGATGTGATCATTTAGGCCGTGACGAACGATAATCTCATAATCTTAAAACGAGTTAGGGCTTATATTTCACAACATGATTGTGCAAAAACCTAAAGATGAGTTGAGAATTTATGTCGCACTAGGCAGTTTATTTGGGTTGACATTGTGCTCAATTTCCAAATCTCCAAATATTTTTCATCAGAAAAGGGGTCCCTCTTTTATGAAAAGGGGTCCCTCTTTTTATGATTAACAACAAATTTATGGCTGGGACCCTAATGATAAGGGTTGACATTATGCTTAACACGAGATCTCATTTCTTTTGGATTGACATCGCTCTTCAATATCAAAATCTCAAAATATCTTCTTAAGAATTTTGGTATCAATCAAAATGTGATAAAATTTAAAAAACAATGATTTCTTCCTTTTGGTTAACCAAGATTTTGAAGGTTCAACTAAAAAAATTTTGAGATTTGCAAGCTTCAACGAGTTTTTTAGAAATATACAAGTTTTTTCACAAGTTTATGGCTTAAGTGAGTCAAAAAGGTCGAACTCAACAAGCCAAATATGGTTGAATTGCTGACAGCCCCCTTCACTCGACAAGCCATAAAAATGACAATAGTGAAAGAGCAAGCTCTTCTCACTTGATAGGCCATAAAATACAGTGGTAGTAAGAGAGTCTCCATCTTAGTTTAATGATAGAAGTTATCTAGTTCCCAAGCATATCCAATTTAATGAGTTTAAGTGATCTAAATAAAAGAGATTTTCTTACCGAATTGATAGATTAAAGCTAAATCAAATGTAAAATCTGCACTAAGAAAATAACCATGAAATTAAGCCAAAAAATTCCTAGGTTCTAAGACTCTGTGATTCAAGAAAGTAGTTCTCTAAATAGACAAGCTTTATTTGCAATAGTTTAAATGACCGAGCACAATACCGCAAGCAATATACCTACCCCGAAGGATAGGTACAATACTTATTTGTGAGACTCGATTAAATAAACTAAAGAATTTATGACATCCGTCTGGTCTACGAACATTTTATATATGCCGACAAATTCCCCTATCTAAGACAAATAATTAGATAGGGTTTATATTACCTGAGTTTTTAAAGCTCCCTATAGAGGCAAGCTCTATATAGTCAATTACGTCTTAATAGATAGAAGTCACTTAAGAAAACTCTCGATTTAGATCAGAAAATATTCTCCAAGAATTTCAAAGGAATAGGACTTTTCAAGGATCAGACAAACATGTGTGAAATGGGAAGGACTCAAATTTGGAACATTTAATTTTTGGAATCCAAAGGAAGAAGAACTATGGGATGTCACGGATCCCGAGGGGAACCACAGTGACTTCCCAAGTTATTCTATGGTTTAGCTTCAATTTCGAGAAAGAAATTACTGAATTTTTCATCCTGCAAATTTTATTAGTTAAAGCTTACATTTGCGTGAGACGGTCGCACAAATAGTCTGGAAGATGTGATCATTTAGGCCGTGACGAACGATAATCTCATAATCTTAAAACGAGTTAGGACTTATATTACACAACATGATTGTGCAAAAACCTAAAGATCAGTTGAGAATTTATGTCGTATTAGGCAGACAACCTCAAAATCATATGGCTTGTTGTTTAATTCTAAGGGATGTTGTTATAGATACTCAAGCTGTTGCAGATTGTTGTTGTAGAATGCTAACCACAAAATCAACTCCAAGCTATTTGACGAAGTAGCAGTCCTAAAGTCTAAAGGTTTAAAGGTTTAAATAACAGGTTTAAGTTCAATCATGGGGGTTAAAGTTGATTAGAGCAACACCGGTTAAGATCCCACGATTCCCTCTTTTCGGTATCACTATTTTCTTTTGAATTTACTTAGTTTAAACAAGTTTTGAAACTCATTTAAACCGGGGAGATCTCGTTAGCAACCGTGGGTTACCTCCTACGAGGGATTCCCGTAAATTCAACAGGACGTATTATGTTTTGTTGTATTTCAAAGGATTTATGGTTACCTTTGAAACAATTTAATTTAGTTTTGAAAATTGTTGATTAATTTTGAAAAAAATGTTGTTTTGTTTTGCAGGTAAAGTTACATCCACAACCAAGCATATATCATATTTTGAAATGAAAGTAAATTGCAGAAAGTAAAATGACAGAAATTAAATAACACCGTAAAAGCATATATGTTATTTTGTTGCTGCTCCCGCTGAAAAATTAGCTTTTACAACATGTATATAATTTTGCAGAAACTGCTCCCGCTGAAAAATTAGCTTTTACAACATATATATAATTTTGCAGAAAATTTGAATAAATTGCAAGAGTAGATAAAGGTGTAGTTGCCAAGTTCTAGGTGAGTACTTAAAGATTTTAATAAATGATTTTCCGAACAAAGTATAATAAGTTCAATTATTCTTCAAAATATTCAAAAGGTTATGAAAGTGTCTAGGAAACAATCCCTAGCAACTTTTAAATCCTTTTTTGAAGTATTTCGAGTTTATTTGAACCTATTATATTGTTCAATTAAACATTCCAAGCTTGATGAGTTAATACACCTTATGCTTATTGAACCAAATATTTCAATTATCCAAAGAGTAGGGCACTCAATATTTTACTTAAAAGTTATGTAGGAGGATACCCTTAGGGCAAGTCTAAGTCATTAAAAATTATGTGCCCAACATTAAAGTTGGGTCTGCAGTGTTTAAAAGTGTTAATTATTAATCATGTTATCCTTTCTAAACCTCATTAATCAATCTTGGATTAAGCCTAGTTCACTATCAAACCCTTAACAATTTCAATGGGTAAATTTGCAATTAAAATTTTAATTTAAGTGATACATATCCTTATTAAAAGATCATATCATATCCAATTGTAGGCTCAAGGCTCAAAATAAGTTAAAATTGTAGGCTCAAAATAAGTTAATTTTCATCCTCCTAACCTAAGCCCATCACTTTAGAATCACTTTCATCCTCCTAACCTAAGCCCATCACTTTAAAATCATTTAATTTTAACTAACTTCCAAATCCTGATAATTTGGGAAATTACCATTTTTACTCTTATCATGAAAATGTGGCTAATTGGTTTCTACCTTTTAACCTCTACGAGCACTTTATCTCACAGCCTCTTCCAGCATTGTATCTCAAAGCATTTTGGCCTAATTTCTTCCCAACTAGAATCATTCCTACATAAGGGATTCATGTATTCCTCTCTCTCCTCTTCGAATCTCGCAAAAAGGCATGTCGATGACCTCATCATAGATCTTTTACTCATTGTCATCATGTTGTTTTATCACTCGAGGAGTTGTCGATGTAACTCTTCCATAAACTCCTGATCAAGTTCAGGCAATCGCCTCCGTAGCGGCATGATTAGGGTTTAGAGTGGGAAGGTGGAAGGATATGTGTAGGGGTGATTAAGAATGGGAAAAAAATAGAGTGGAAGTAGGATTGGGTAGTGGTGGAAGCTAGTAAACTAGGATATGTTATACTAAATGATATCGGAGTGAACCCAAAAAATAAAAGATAATAAATATTATTGATGAAATTCAAATAGGGCATTTACAACCACAAAACTGAAAGGGAAAATTACAACATGACAAAAGGAAATTTATAATTGTGACAAATGATAACTCCAACACAACCTAAGGTGGATCGCAGGTGATGGTAGTGGTTGTTGGGTGTCTGGAATGGTGGTCATAAAATGGGAGCGCAAACAGCTGGTCCTTACTGTCCTAGGTGGCCACCACAAAGTGGAATTCAAGTTCCCGGAGTCTGGAAGTGCTGATTTGACAGATAGGCGGTGCAGGAGGGCTGAGACATTGGAATAGCATCTGGTGGAAAGGGGAGAGGATTTCTGGTGGCTAAAACAACGATGGCAGCAAGTGGGAGCTCTGAAATCTCAGGGGCAGTAAAGTGGGAGGTTGGAACAATGATGGCAATAAGGGCATAGAAAACAGGGAGGCGTTGAGCTACAGGAGACAGCAAAGGCGTAGTCCCACCCGAGGGGTTACGAGGAGAATGGTAGCTGCAGCAGTTACGACAACAACAGTGGCGACGGAGAGGTTGCAGAGGATGGGAAGGTCAAGGTAGTCACCACCACGGAGTGAGATACAACCAATGCATCGCTCGTCCCCGGATTCAACCCTAGAAGAGAACACAAGGGACGTCAACGGCTGTCCTTATAAAAAAATCACGAAAAATAAAAGAATCACATAAATAAGCCTTTGATAACTAGGATTGGATTCCACTATGAGAAGGAGGTGTCAAATCAACATGGAAGAGTCAAACGGACCTCCTAGGTCAGGACCAAACCAAGCCAGCCGAAGGAATCGTAGGACATGACTCCCACGTCAAGCCGCATCGTCGGCGGGGCGCCTACGTCAGGTTAGTTGATCTTGCTAAAAAACATAAAAACTACTCAAAAAAATAATAATAATAAAAGTTCATAAACTATTCGGTTGGGCATCAAAATTCCAAGAAAAATGAACAACCTTGTGATAAATAAAAATAATGAAGTGCTTTTTAAATGTTGAATCAATTAATAATATCATAAACACAAAGTTATGCAAGACAAAATAATTCACAATTTTAAGACGTAATGATATACCGAAAAAATTGTACAGAACAATCTAGTCTATACTACAACATAAATAATGAATGTTAATAACCATCCACCAAATAATCTTCAAATTGGTAAAATACAGTCCTTATCTAGTTTCAATCATGCAAGATGCGGTTCATTGGGGCCTCTAAACCAATACACAAAAAGAATTTGAGAAGGAAAGTGCAACATTTTCACTCGATCAGACGAGGATCCATTATGAAACTGTCACATAAGAAGTTAAGATACATGTGAAGATGTGTTTAAAGAAAGAATTGTGAATAAGCCACAAACCTCTCCCGTTAAATTCTCAACTTCAAGCAGCTGTTCCACAATAATTTTAAGTACTTGACAGTTTTTCTGAAGCATTTCCCTTGCTTTTTCATAGCCTAGGTTGTACATCTGAACAAGAAAGGTTTAAATTGAATGGTTTGTTTGAATGAAATAAGCTAAAAAAAGAATTCTTTAAGGATGCTGCAAAGACAAGTTGCAGCCTGAATACTTGCTGTTTCTTTCTGGAAGGAAAAAAACATCAACATAACCAACAACTTTACCTGTTCAACTTTAGCTGCCATCTCCAACTCATGTTTGTTTCCCATGCTTAGTGTTCCAACCTGATTCAAAGCACATAACATATTTAGAAGCAAAACTAAACAATGCAATAGAATCCATCTATTTAGTAAAATTATATTTGAGTAATCTAATATTTACTATTAAGTGAAATTTACACCATATATTGTATCTCAATTCATTCATGAAGACAAGACGCAAAACCTTATTCATTTGCATCACTAAAGAAATCTAGCTGAAAAAAAAGAATCACAGAAACAGTTCGTCAACAATTTCATGCAAATATCCAATTACTATTGATGTTTTCATTCAAACCTTTAAACTACGCCACTTATGAAAAACGACATGCTAAATTCACTGCCAGAATTAACTGGATAAATATAAACACTAATATTTTAATGTAAATTTTTTATATGGTATACGATAATTTAAGTAATCAAAATTCAGTCAAGGCATAATAGAATTTTTTAGCCAAAAACATGGGATTTGATATAATTTCAAAGGTGATGGCATGATTTTTTATAACAATTTAATACTTTTCATAGACTGACCACTTGACCAAGCTTGATGTGACGAACACAATTTGAACCAAAAGCACAATGCACTTTGTAAATTCAAATGTCATAACACCTACGACCCTTGCTTTTGTCTACTAGAAACCTCTATCATGATTGTTCTTCATGACAAAGTGCAAGTACAATTTACTCGACCACAGGAAAATCTCTATGTATAATCTGGAGCTCCTCTTGGACTAAAACATGGTTACGATATTCTTCATTAAATAGATATGATTAAGAAACTTTTTGCACCATCAGCTAATGGGTGGTGTCACTAGATGTTTCTTTTGGAAGAAATTTTTTTCACTTGAGATAATGGAACCAATTTAAAAGAAAGTCTCACATGGTTCATGCCACAGAAGGTGGGGTTAAGACAAATCAATTGAGAAAATTATTTTTTTTCATTTAAAAAAAAAATTAATCACTCGCCCCAAATTTACAAAATTATGAACAAGAAGTTTAGGAAGCTTTAGGAACAAGGTATCCATAGACCCAAATCAAGTTCACTTCTTCGGTCCCGTCTCTGGCTCATATTAACGGTGATGTGCTTGAGTAAACAATCTCAGTTGCCCTGGTGGAGGGGAATTCGATCGAAGGAAGTAAGTATGTCTAGAATTCTAGGTTACATCTTAGATTACGTACATAATCATGAAAAGTGTTTTATTGTGCTATCAAAACTACTCTCACAAAGATGAATAAATTTCTCTTCAAGCATCAAATAAACATGCATGAAAGGGAAGACGGAAGAACTGATTTTACGATGAAAGGCTAAAATATGAAGATATAGTTATGAATTTCGAGCTAACTAATGAACCTAATACATACTAGAATGATGATGATACGGGGTGTAGGATTACCGTGGTTCCGCGGGTCCACATGTCGTAGATCTCGTGATTACAAGATTAATGACACAATGAAATCCTTATGTTATTTTTTTGCTATTTTAAACAAGTTTTTACCTTTACTTCTTTCCTACTTAGTTCTTTCCAATTTTCCTATTTCCCAATTAGGTTATTTCCGATTCGTAGACTTTTCTTTATTTTATGCTCTTCGAAAGGGTCGTATCATTTACTTTTGCAAATGGTGTGTCACTACCTTGCTTTGGAATAGGTGGTGGAATCTACTCACGTCCAAAAACATAGCCAATTTGAAATTTTCAATGTTGTTTTCAAACAAAACAACTGCTGATCGAGGTTGATTCCCTTCTAAAAGCCACCAAAATTGTATATTATCATTCTCTTGATATTCCACAATCACTACCCACCCTCACAAAACCCACTTTCTAAGAACCATACAAGATCCCTAGAGCGGTTACAGCGGGTATTAGAACCCAAGAAGCTCTAGATTTTTTAGAGCATTCCACAATCACTACCCACCCTCACAAAACCCATTTTCTAAGAACCATATAAGATCCCTAGAGCGGTTACAGCTGGTATTAGAACCCAAGAAGCTCTAGATTTTTTAGAGTGTCGTTTTGTGTTAATCCAAAATTCCAAAAAGAAAATTCCACCGTACCAAGATACCGCAATTCCGAGTCCTAAATAAAAAATTTCCATAATCCAACCTTCTTAATTCCACCAAAATCTTACGCCGACACTACCACCAAAATCTAAGCCCCATACCAACTATGATTTACAATCCTACACACGTTAAAACCTAATCAAGAGGAAAGGACGACAACCACCAAGAAGAACCCTCGGCAAGGTATCTAGAAACTTACTATGGCGAATATGTAGCAAAAAATTCTCCAACTGCAATAGAACTTTGCCTCCTTCGAGAAGAGACAATCTGATGAGATCATCCATAGCCACAACCGTGGTTCACCAGATTAATAGGAAGTACATCTCTTTCACCAAAAAGCTTCAAGTGAAGAACAACCGATGTCACATAGATTTGATGGAAGAATCTGAAACATATTCGAAAGCGAGAAGGGAAGAGTAAGGTCATTGCATGATCTAACATGAAAATGGAGATATAGCGCAAATATATAACCGCACATTACTGATAACATATGCTTATAAAACTCCACACCTGTGCCAGAAAGATTCTTCCGTGAGAGAGTACACGGTTGAATTTGATCAACTTATGATGAAATGTGAGTTGGTGGAAAGGAGGCTATAGTAGTGAGATAGCTTAGAGGATTAAGATCGTCCATTAATAATGTGGTATACAGTTGCAACCCAATTGGACAATACAAGATGTGCAGATCGTAGCCTTAAAGGTGGAGAGACAACAGAGCAATATCAAGTTCAAAACACCCTTCAAATGGAGTTCAACTATCGAATCAAGCAGCAAAAATACATCTAGAAGATCAACCCAACATATCCTGCCTGAGGAAAAATTAGTTCAGAGTGAAGAAAAAGTTGGGACAACCAATACTGTAAGTTTTTCTCAGTCAAAACATGCTTCAAGTGCTACAGTTACGGGCATACTGCATCAGATTGCCCAAATAGCAGAATGATTGCTTTTACTGAATAGGGAGAGTTGAAAACATGGACAGTGAAGAATGAAGATGTCCATCGATAATGTGATAAACACTTGCAACCCAATTGGACAATACAGGATGTGCAGATCGTAGCCTTAAAGGAGGAGAGACAACAGAGCAGTATCAAGTTCAAAACACCCTTCAAATAGAGTTCAACTATAGAATCAAGCGGCAAGAGTACATCTAGAAGATCAACCCAGCATATCCTTCCTAAGGAAAAATCAGTTCAGAGTGAAGAAAAAGTGGGGAAAACAAATACTGCAAATTTTTCTCAGTCAGGACATGCTTCAAGTGCCACAGTTTTGGGCATACTGCATCAGATGACCCAAATAGAAGAATGTTTGCTTTTACTGAATAGGGAGAGTTGAAAACATGAACAGTGGCACAGGAAAGAATGAAGATCTCGGAGATGAGTATTAGATTCCAGAAGACAAGGAAGCTTATGATTCAAGATGAGCCCATCAGAGAGACTCCAATCAGTCAAACATTAATTGTTCTAAAAGATAGTAAGTCGAAGGAGCAAAATCCAAAAAAGGAGTAGCCCTTCTTGAAAAAGTTTTCAGATATTCTAGTTGACAGTTTACCTCCTGAGTGGATAATCTTGAGTGTGGTTCAGCCTACTATAGTTACATTTCAGAGTATGTTCCACCAGACATTCTTGTTTATCGGGTGCCTGTAACCAAGTACAAAAAGTGGGACAAAAATCTAACATATTAAGGGGCTCAAGTCTTGGTTCATAAGAATATCACTCATGAATAATTTCAACTCTGATTGTGCCAAAAAAAGATAGTTACTTATTCTATCAAGACAGACCTTGGAATGATAAATGTTTTAAAGTTGCAACGAGTGAGTATGAGCATAGATTTAGCAGTAAAGTTGTCACAGCTACAACAAGACAATTACTTTATCAGATTGCAGTAGATAGATTCCAAAAGCTTTATGGAAAAAAGACAAAGCTCGTCCTACCCATGTAGAATGATGTGGGATGCAGAATGTAGCTGTCAGTCAACTTTTTGAAAATTGAAAAATAATTTTGAAATTTAATTTAAACATAAGAGGTATATAATTAGGGTTTTGAAAGTAGTGTATTTTGATTTTTCAAAAATGAGACCAAATGGATCTCATTAGTCTAATAGTTTGCATAATCGTGTCCGATACCGCAAATACTAGACCTTCCCGAAAGATAAGTGTAGACCTCGACGATAGAATCAATCATGCAAATTAAGAGATTTGTGACATCTATTTGGTTTGCGAACCTTTTATGTGTGCCGAAAAGTTCCCATACTTAATACAAAGATTAAATAAAGTGTATTTTACCTGAGTTCCAAGTTCCCTATAGAGACAAGCCTCTACATTAATTACATCCAAAATGACTGGAGTCACTTGAGAAAACTCACGATAATGATCATAGATGCTAGTCTTCAAGAATTCGAGGTTTGAGTTTTCACGGTAGGACGTGGAAAGACAAGTGGGAGTGGTTCAAATGTGAACAATTATTTTCAAGAGTCCAAAGGGAGAAAAATGTAGGGGATGTCACAGATCCTAAAGAGACACCTCAGTGACTTTCCAAATAATCTTAATGTGTGGCTGAGTCTTGGAGACAATGTTATTTAGGTGTTTAATCCTACCAATTTTATTATTTGGGCTTATATTTGCATAATGTTGATTATGCAAATAACCCGCAGAGATAAGAGGGTTTACGTCGTGTCACACGACAACTTCGGAATCTAAGGCGAGTTAGGACTTACGCTGCACAACACAGTTGTACAGTTGTACAGGAGCGTACAGGAGCCTAAAGAGGGTGTAAGGATTTATGTTGCGCTGAGCAAGCTACCTCGAAGTCCTAAGAATTGTTATTTTGCTAGGAAGAGATAATGCTAAAGAAGATGCTCTTGCCTAAAGAGACACCTCAGTGACTTTCCAAACAATCTTAATGTGTGGCTGAGTTTTGGAGACAATGTTATTTAGGTGTTTAATGCTACCAATTTTATTATATTTGCAT